AAATCCCTCAGTCAGAACATGCTATATCATGTTTAGGTGGAAGCTAGCGAGCTAACTTCCTGCTAACTTCTAACTCGATTAAATTTCATAAATTCTGTTTTCCTGGATGTTAAACTTAATTGTTACACCTGGTACAACTGATCACTGATTAAAGATGAAAGAATTTAGACAGTTTGTAACTTTAAGTGATGCCGCAGTGTTAGTTTGACTTTGGGACCTGAAGTGGAGTTTGGACCCGGAAACGGCTATGTCAGACTTAAAGACCGGATAGCACAGAAGGGAGTCGCTGTTAAGCCAGGCTCTGACTGTTCCTGTATGGAAATCTCATTCTTGATGATCCATATGTTTGATTTAGCAAAGATTTTACATTGCAGACCCTTCCTGCTGCAACCCTCCTCATTTATCTGGGTTTGGGACCAACACTAGGAGGACACTGGTTTGGCCTCACCCCGTCACATACACGTGCCCTGGTGGCTGGGTTAGTTGCTGCCACTAATTATTTTCTTTATAGTATACTTAAAGTTTGACATAGCTTCTTTCCTAATGGTAAGTGGACTTGTTCTTATATAGTGATTTTCTACTCTGCTTGAGCAATCAAAGTGCTTTATACAACATGCCTCATTTAGCCATTCATATATTCATTGGAGAGCAACTTAAGGTTTAGTATCTTGTGCAAGAAGACTTAAGAGCAGCCAGGGATCAAACCACCAACCATAGAAGATAATTAGTAGTTGACTTACTCTACCTCCTGGCCTACAGCCACTATCCATTAATACAATGTATCAATGGAATTATATACAGTATATACAATATATAATATTAAGAAAAGCAAAAAATTTCATATAATTTCATGCAGTCTTTTGACAATCTTATATCAAGTGCTGTATTGAGTGTTATACAGCACTTATCAACCCCAATGTCAAAGAAAAGCTGGAACACTATGAAATATAAATAAAAACAGAATGCAGTTATTATTAAACCTCAACTTTATTCAATCACTCACTGAAAACACATCAAGTATTTAAAGTAGGAGGAACATTTTGCAGCTAAGTATGTTAATGAACAGGTCACATGATTGTGTATAAATAGTATCTTAGAGAGGCAGAGTTTCTCAGAAAGAAAGATATCAGAGGTTTGCAAAAATACAAATCAAAAACAAAAACGTGTAAAATTGTATGACAATTTTAGAATAATGTTCTTCAATGTAAAATTGCAAAGAGCTTAAATATCTCATTATTTACAGTAAATTTCGTTAAAAGTTTCAAAAAAATATTGAGAAGCCTCTGTGCACAAGAACCTGAAATCAATATTGGATGATCATCATCCTCAGACTGACAGACATTTACAGAAATCACTATTAGTGAATACAGTTCACAGTACATTGCAAAAATGCAGGTTAAAGCTCTACCATGAAGAAAAGAGACCACATGTGAATGTAAAAACAAAAAATCAGCCCACTCGGTGGCCAGTCCAGCTGTGCATCAGGCTAAGTTAGACTCATATTAGCAGTCAGTGGGCTGCATGCAGCACACCCCTATTTTGCTACACAAGGAAATAAGGTTACCTGGAGGTGAAGTGGAGAGAGCGGTAAATATGTAAGAAAGAAGCTGTTTAAAGCAAAAACAAAGTGAAAGAAACTTAAAATAGTGTCCGAGGTCCAAGGAGCAAGCCAGAAAAAAAGGCTGCTTTTCAGAATGTGTCCACAGGAGTAATGACCACTTAAAAATAAATAAACAAACCAAAAAGTGAGGCTCCAGCTCAAACAACAGGTTGCTGAATATTGTTTCCCCTGAGACACTCTGCCTCAAGTAAATGGACTGGTTCTCGTGTAATGCTTTTCTGCTGTATCTATATAAGCGCTCAAAGTGCTTATTAAAATGTTGAAGCCGTAATAATTGTTATTGTAATCCTGAGGGTTTTGTGGCATACAATGTTTTGGGAAATCAATAATAACAATTAGCAGTTGTAGCAGAAGCACTCATTTCAGCCTTGTGATTAAATTCTGAAAGACAACCAGGTTATCATTTGTTCACATACATGGTCTGAAGGACTTCTGTACTTGTGTAAAAACATTCAGACACACGAGTTACACACAGATTTGTTCATATGTGTACCAGCCAAGCGGGCAAATGGTAAAGGTAAGGTCAAGCTAAGTAGCAGATTATACTGAAAAACAATGCCTCCTAGGTTTGAAAGAGCCTATAGGAGCCCAAAGACAGACATTGGGGCAAAGAAATTTTTCCCCACAAATAAAAACACAAGTATAAATTGGAAGTACCTCGGTACCTGAAATAGTAATAGGAACAAGAGTGATAACAATTGTTAAATATTACCGTAAAAAAGAAAAAAAAAAGCAGATGAGGGGATATTCTAAAATCTCAATAAAACAGTCAAAAAGCAAGGCATTACCACACAATCTATGCTCTGTCCACGTCTAGTCCAGCAGCTGTTTCAAAGCACAGCTCCTTCTTGTTTCGCAACAGCTGAATGCACAGCTGTCCAACAGTCTTTCCTTAACTTCAGCAGCTCCCTCCTAATGCTATATCCAGGTCTCGACCCCCTGGGGGGCTCTAGGACAAAGTCACTGGTTCAGTGACAGTCCGGCTGCCACAACTCTAAAGCCAATACAGCCAATAGCACACCCTGGTACCCCAACAATAGTTGTTATATAAGAAAGTGTAATAGGTTGTTCACAAGGTTGTTGTAATCAGTCATATCAGCCATATCAGCTAGTATTGGACCCTTGATCAACAATGTCCAGCAGGTAGTACCAGCGATAGCACAATTCTACATTCCTCAGTAAGTATGTTAAATATTAAAGTTTAAAGAAATAGGAGGCTTAAAAGGGTTTCCAGGAGAAAGCACGTTCTCTTAAAAAAAGGCTATGTTAGCAGCTGTACAGTATTACCTGTGAATAAAGGATTGAAAAATGAAATTAGGTATATAAGTGGGGAACTTAAAGGGTTTGGTGAGTGCAACAAAAAAAAGATTCAAGTAGTCCAGTGCCTATGAAGTACAGTGGCGGATTCCTCTCAGTACTCTGGTTAACTGGTGATTCTAACCCTGTCTATGCAGCTTTAAGTTACGTGTCATTGATGAAAATGTGGCTAATGTGTTTTTGTCCTTATACAGATGAAATTCACGGATGCAATGCGCTCCAAAGCTCGTCTGTCTATCACAGGATCGACCAGCGAGAATGGTCGTGTTCCAGTGGCTTACCTCCGTCCTGGATTACCCATGAGTCTCAGCATGACTGATCTCTCCTGACTACATCCAAGCCAGTGCCTTACAGCTAGAAAGACTGGACAGATGTCTACCCACCACTTGGCTGTCAGGCTTCAGCAATGACCTGCCCATCAACGAAGAGAGTCACTTGACCATCAGTGAGAAGAATGGCTGTTCATATACAAATTCATGAAAAGCAATCAAGCACAGTGGACAGTTTTCTAATCAAATACACATCATTATTTAATGGATTTTTCCCCCTCTTGTACAGACAACAAGAAACAATGATGCTAACGCAATAACAATATTAATCAGGAATGTGATCAGGAGTTATAAAAGCAGACTGATGAAATGAAATATCACATCCATAAAATATTAGTAATTGTGGTAGCAGATAATGATATTGCTATTGTTCCTATTTTTTCTCCTTATTTTCCCCTGAAAATCCCTAATGAGTGGAAACTTTTACCAGATTAAGGGATGCATGGACTGGCAACCACAGGTACACAGTATAAACACTTCTACAACACAACACTACAAAAACATACAAATTTTATGCAGGGATGGGCTGAAATGAGTTAAAAAGTACCTGAGCAAGGTGTGATACCGAAAGCATCAACAAATGCAATCTGAGAAAGTGAATATCCCTGGCTCAAACTGACCACTCATCAGTATTACAATTAAAATGAAGCAATTACTAATGTTTATAATGCATTTCATGAAATGTTGTCCACTCCAAGATATGTTAAATAATTAAACAAAATTCCCCAAATATTTAGTGTTTAATCCAATTAAAAAATTTTATTGGATTCTTGGTAACATGAATATTTTATAGTCTTTGCAGAATTACTGTAAATATGTTTACACTTTCCTCTTGTTCATTGGGCAATAGCTTAACAGTGATTTATGTTTGACTGTGTGACACACAGCTCTAAACGTTTAATGATCAGCATATGAAATTATAAAATAGACATAATAAATCATGTTGAATCTGTTAAATATATTTTAACACCTTGTGTAAACAGCACATTGGCAGTTTTTACATTCCTTGTTTTTCGTGCTGTACTGTTAACTACAGGATCATAGATTTAGCCATAGCCAGATTTAACCATTATTATATACTAGGGCTGCCACGATTTGTCGTCTAGTCACGATTACGTCGACTATCAAAATCGTCGACGACTGATTTAATAGTCGACGTGTCGTTTGAAGCTTTGTAAGATCGCAAAAGACGCAGAGGTAGCAGGATTTAAGAGTGTAATAACGGACTGAAACAGAAGATGGCAGCACTGCATGTACAAGGATGCCAGCTGCCGTTAAACCCCGAAGAAGAAGAAGCAGCTGTGTCCCAGAATTCATAGCGCGGCCCAGCTTAGTTTCCAACAATGGCGGTAGCTAGTTAGTTTTAATATTACTCTTATTATTCTTTCTGGGTCACAAAATAAACGTTTAACATATTTTCAGGCGAGAATGTAGCTGTGTAAACCTCAAATATCGGCTCAGTTTATCAGGACACCACATATTTTCAAAAGCGCTACGACGTTTTCGGAGACGTCTGTTACCCACTAGCTCGATAGCTAGCCGGGGGCTAGGTCACTAGCTCCGTGAGAACACCGGACTCCCGGCAAATTGTTTTCAAACCCACCGCCGTCTTTCGCGACTCAGGTTAAATATATATGAGTCACTTAGATAAATTAAAAATGTTGTTGTTTGGCTTTTTTTTTTTTTTTTTTTTTTTTAGTATTTTATTTGTTCCTGAGTAAATCGGTTTGGCTGAGATTAAAGTTATAGTTTTTACACAGCTGAATAAACGTCAAGCAGACAGCTGATTATCAGAAGTGTGAGATGCTGGAGAATATACTCCGGTGTCCTGTTATAGTTTAGATAGCAAGGAGTTTATTAAACTTTACCGAAACAATCTGCAAATTTCATTAAAATTGAATAAACTATCATCTTGTCTATATTTTTAGTTAGCACAGACCTGAAACACTTAAAGCTGTAAGCTAATGATAGTTATATAAGAGCAGATGCTGCTGGTGCAATAAGCTGTAGTTTTACATCCAGTGGATGATGATCTGATTAGTCGACTAATCGCATAAATAATCGGTGACTAGTCGACTATCAAAATAATCGTTTGTGGCAGCCCTATTATATACACAAAATAGAGTTAGGAAAACTAGATGGAGATTCAACCCTGGTTATGGACAAATCACACGGTGTGGTTAGTAAGGGAAGTTTTACTCGTTGGTGATAAGAAAGAAAAATGTATGTTAGCAGAAGCAAACTGCAATGCAAGGTGTCCCAGCCAGTTAAGGACTGAGATAGGTGGTATACACTCGGAGCTGGGTCAAATAAAGGGAAAACACACACAAACATAGGCTTGAATTAAAATCAGCTAAGTGAAGGTGAATTAAAACGATCAAAAACTGCAGGTCAGATTGAGTTTTAGAGCAAAGTTCTGTGAAGCATCAGCCCCAGGTTAGTTTTAGTGCTTATCTAAATATTATTGGTTTTATCTATAAATAAATACACAGAAAATAGCAACTTTAAGTTTGTGCAGTTATTTAATATACTGGTATCCTTACTGAATATGGACACTAACAGGGACTAAAAAATACACAGACAAGTCGCATAAATTGTGTAGCTGTTTGGCAGCTATTGGCAGTCATTTGTCATGAAGACACTGAAGGGGTACTTTAATCATTTTTTGTTGCACTTCCACAAAGTGAAGATATTTATAATTCCTTAATAAGCTCTAAAAACAGAAACACACATTCATAAGGCATTCAACAGGGCTATTTCATGAATCCCAATTAATTGGTAACACCCTACACACGTCAGTATGCTTTGTTTGTAATATAATAATTTTTTTAAAACTGATCTGAAACCAGTTAAAAACCAGTTTTTATTCTTCTATTCTTGTAGAAACCACTCTTTTTTTTCACAGATCTTTCTTGGTAATTTGGTTTTGCATGGCATCTATGACTGTATATTCACAATTTGAACTTGCTGATAAATAAAAATTGAAAGGCACAATAAAGTGCAACCCACTGGCAGCAAAATAGGCTAATGTTACTCAGTGCATATCAGTGCCATATTATAAACAATCACTTTCTGTTGGCTGCTGTAGTGTAGTAAACGGTCTATTATCTAGATCTAGAATTTAAAAATTGCATTTAATTTTAAAGACACGCTCTATTTTCTTTTAAAAAAAAAGACTATCAGACAAAAAAAAAATTTATTCAAAAGAGAATAAGAACGTTTGCATTCAAAGATCTAAACAAAAAATGTGTGTGTAAATTACATCTTGCTCTCACCCTATGGCAGTTGGGATAGGCTCCCCCCCCGAACTGGAAAAGCAGAAGAAAACGGACGAGTGGATGAAAGCTTTTATTTAGAGCCCCAGATACTGTTTTCACAAACTGAGGTGGACTAAATTTGCTCCCTTTAATTATATGGTTCTGTAAATATTTAGAATATATGAGAAGTATATGTTCCCATCCCTCTTTCTAGGTCAGCACATCACAACTGCAGCATAAACACAAACACGCCTTGCTTATACATTGACATATATTTTCACATTTGCATGTGCACCTGCATAGTATTCTCATAAGAGTTCTGAAGTCAATTGGATGATGTGCCAAACAGACTGAGACCCAATCAGAGTTCTTTATGCTCAGTCAATGGCAGCTGCTGATACTGAAACCTGAGCCAGTAGGAGTTCTCACTGCTGTGAACTGGACAAAAAAAAGAAACTGTGAAGAAAAACTTTTTGTTTTAATAAATATACTGCACTAAAGGATGGCAACAAAGACGATGGAAGAGGATGGAGTGAAGAAAGTTTGCATGTCACTTTAAGTTTTTCCTTTGATGAAATTTTCAGTCTGAAACTTTGTGACTGCTGCATTTAGTGTTTAATAATAATACTAATAAGAATACTATTAGCGATATTAATTGCAGTATTATTGTGATTCTTGTTATGTATAGTGTATGCTTTTAAGAACTCTGGTATGCTATTTTTTTCACAAGAGAGCTGATGTTTGTGCTGCTGGTTAGAAGCTAGCTGGTTAGCTTAAAATCTTATACGATATGAAAAATGCCCAAACTGTGATAAACACAGGGTTGTTGAAAATATAAAGGCATCTGCTTCCATTTCTTCTTATGAACTCGTATCATTTTCACCTTAAGCACATGTTAATTTTCATTATATTCTCATGGTGTTACAGTCAAATGAACGAGTAACAGCAAAATAAAACGCATCCTTCACTGATGGAAATGTGAAAATGATCACTCTTAACGTTACCTCTGGTATAACTTCATTTTCTATTAAATGTAAGTAAGTTGCTTTTTAACAGAACAGATTATTGCCTGGGCTAATTTCATTCGAGGTGTAAATTATGTCCAACATAGTCCCTTCCGTTTTGTATACTGCTTATATTTCATATAAACATGTATTGAGCTCTTGAGGTCTTCATTATCTGACTATTTTCGATATATATTAAACATGCTTGCCCTTGAAATGTCATAATAAAAACAGACAAAGACATTAAGGACACACTTAACATAGCAGTTTCTTGAAGAAGTTTTGTCTCTGTTTTCATGATATTCACCTTTTGGGGCCATATAAATTATGACTTGACTTTGAAAATTAAATTAAAATGCTGTCTAAGGTGAGATAAACTGATGGGTGAGGAAAGGCTATAACTAAACCTAGACTTGAAGTAATGCTATTTAAGAAGTAATGATATTATCCCAATGGTTGGTTACCATAATCATATCTATGTTTATGCCTAGCCTTAAACAGACCTTACATAATTTTCACACAACCTTAATTATTGATGATTATTATAAAGAACTGCTCATAATGTTGGCAAAAGGCAATGCAGACAACTGCAGCACATAACTACACCCAGCAACTGAATGCAAAAGTTAAAATATACTTTTCTAACTACACTAGACGTGATATTTTGTGACATTCTTTAGATTTTATTGTTTTTGAAAAACCTGGTAAATCAGAGATTAAAGTTACAGAGTTGTGATAAACGATATTCAGAAAACTATTCTTCCATCTTTCTCTACTGTCAAATCATTGCTGCCATAAAAAGCGTTCCCCAAAAACCCTTATTTATGTGATCATTTCTTAATAACATTTAACTTTACAGTAATGGATTACACAGCAGTGGGGAACACATTTCATTATAAGAAATGTCTTTCAGAAAGTGTTGTAACTAAATTTAAGGATATAATTCTTCTACTTCTACTTGCTTCAATACTATGTGCCAAAACAGTATAGAGCAGCTACCTAAACTCTACTCCCAGAGAAGTAGATTATTCTTTTAATATTCTTTTATATCCTCATGCGTGTGGATTCTGTATCACTTTAACCATAACTAGTAATGATCAGAGATGGGCAGATTACAGTAACGTGTTACAAGTAACGCGTTACTGTAATCTGATTACTTTTTTCAAGTAACGAGTAAAGTAAGGGATTACTATTGCAAAAACGGTAATTAGATTACCGTTACTTTCCCGTAGGAACGCTGCGTTACTGCGTTACTAAAACCGTGATTTTTTGCGAGAATGTCTCACACAGTGACGTAAGTGAGTGCGCCGTTAGTGACAACAGCTGTGTGCAGATCAACAATGGATCACATATCGATTGTGGGAGAGAGTATGAGCGTGCAGCGTTTAAAGCGTGGAAGTACTGACCTTACTTTGAGTTTGATTCCATAAAAAGTGACAAAAACATTAGTGTCCATCGTGCGTGGGAAGAAAACTTCTTTTTACAGCGAAAAAAACCCCTAAACTTCCAAGCAAGCACCGAGTGCGCTACGACGTAATGGGAAACTCACAGAGAAACTCGCGGATTCTTCAACTGACCGCGGCACACCTGCGGTGAAAATAGAGCAACAGGACCACTGAGTCTTTGACTTTATTTATTTTCTGCTGTGTTTTACTTGCATCTATTTGAAAGACTGAGTGTAAACACAAAAAATATTTTATTTTATGTGCTGGAATGTGCTGAAAATAGGTTTAAATGTTAAACTAATTTATTCAAGTCAGAGAATGGTGCATATAATTAAATTTTTGCTTGATGCATAAAGTTAAAAGATTAAAACTGA